AAGGCAGAAAACCCTTCTGGTTTTCTTACTTAGAAGATACAATTTTAGCACACTCTTATTATCAAAATATTTTACCACATTATCAATTACCAGGCCACAACCTATATGCTTATCATACTATTAACACATTCAAAAAACTTACTAAATCTAAACTCTGGTTACTCTCATACTACAATGATGAAATTATTATTAAGAAAATACAAAAATATTTCCTATCATCTAACTACTATTCTATTATATATTGAACCTCCAATATTGACTTAAACCATACAAAATTTTACCTTTTACCTCCTGTTAGCTACAAACAATATACAGAATGCCATCTTAATTCTTATAGAATTAACCAAACCTGTATCATTGAAGTCTCTGCAATTATTTCTGCACAATTTCTTGGCAGAACTAACTCAAAGTACCAACTTAACTCAATGCCAATTACTTGGATCTTATCTGCTTCACAGCTGTCAAGCATCCAACTCATATTCCTTCTTCATCTAACATTCCTATTACCAACTCTATCACCTCTGAAATCTTTACTCCAAGTGAATCTACTAACAAACTTATATCCATTTCACATCACAACCTCTTCTACCAGCAACTATCTTTCTATACTGATGGTTTTGTAATTGATATTAGTACTGACCAATGCACAATGGGTATTAGTTAGATTCAAGTTAATAATAATAACCAAATTACTAATTCCTTTTCTGCTAAAATCAAATTTTGGCCTTTATCTTACAAAACAAAACTATTCTTAATTATTACTGCAATCTCAACTGCTTCTCGAAACTGTATTATTAATATCTTTACAGACTCTTAATTAGTAATCTTTAAATTTAACAATCTTCAACTTAAGTCAATTCACTCTAACAAGTTACTCAAATTTAATTCATAACCAATTTGGCACACTTTTCTAAATATTATCAAATCATACAAATTACAAATTACTTTTTACAAAGTACAGACTCATTTAGACAACCATCTCAATGAGCAAACAGACTCTTTCACTAAATAACACCCACTGTTACCACTCTTTTCATTTAACTATACAAATCTTTACAACCCTTATCATATTCTTCAATAAGAACACCATTATATAAAACTTTCTACAAGGCATTTTATTAAACAAATCTGTAAAGCTCATATCTTAGCTATATGGGCATCACAAAAACGAAACAGTGAATAGTCATATTTCAACCAAGACATCGACTGAAGATCCACTTGGCTCTACTTCAATCACAATCAAAAACCCTCATACAATATTACCAACTTTAGACTTAATCAACTAAAATCTTTTAAAACAAAAATCCTTCTTAATAAGTTGCCAACATATTTATTATATTATACTATTTATCCAAGCCAATATTCAAATACTACTTGCTTCTTTTGTAACCTATCTAATTCTCATTCCTACTAGTGTACTTGTGCTAACCCATCTTTACTCGATCAAATTATCCAAACCTCCACTAACCAAATTATTTCTAATAACTTGCTTGATCTTGATACTTACTATAAATATAACTTAATTAACAAAATTCTTTATCATCCAGCTCTTAACTCTTTATATACTGTATGTTATTTAATACTTACTATGCCAACCTTACTTTTAAAGTACTTATTCCAAAGTCTCTTATATCAACAATTCAAAACTCTGACATTTTATACAAAATGGCTTCTCAAGTTATTATTGATATTCTTCTTAATATTAATAAACAATTATATAAGCAACCATGAAAAACATACTGTATTCATTTTTCTAATTAGAAAAATCAACAAAACAAATCCTGATCTTAACTAATTAACCAATCTTCAAGATCATCCAATCTAACAAGAAAACTTATACACCCTTGAAAAGATTACACTTAATCATGTCTTTGTGAATTTTCTGATCAATTATATTCTTACTTAAATACATGCCCTCCTATTGGCCAAGCAATTCACAAAATTAACATTTGGTCCATCTTATGGATCAAATATAGCATATCATCAATTTATATATTAAACATTCAAATCTAAGTGAGCTTTGACCACTCTAGTAGGTTTAGGTCACAGATAAACTAGTCTGAGCTTTTATTCTTGTATGTAATTTTCAATTTATTTGTTTTGTACAAATAGTAGTAGCTATATAGTTAGCAGTTTAATAGTTAGTCCTGACTGCAAATGTTGGCCTTGACTATAGCATATATATATATAACTATTTTAAATTATTAATAAAGATATAAGCAAGGCTTCACCTTAATACCAAAAAAAAAAAAATAGAAATAAAAAAAACACTAATCAAGTGCCTAATTCCAAAAATGATTCAAGACAGGTTAACACAACTTCTAAATACAAGAACAAGACAACAATTTGTGAATATATTAGCAGAAACAGCCTGAAACACTTTTTATAAACAAGTTTGATAAACAAAATACAGAAAAGTCAATAAATAGAAAAAAAACCTAAAGAAAGAAAAAGAATCTAAGTAAAAAGAAAAAGGCTAGTTAGCAAAAAATAGAAAAAATAAAGAAAAAAGCAAAAAAGAAGAAAAAGCAAATTGAAGATAAAACTAAAAAGACAATTTTGAGGCTTGTTGTAAAAAAGAAAAGACTCTTTTATTATAGACTTTAAGTAGTTAGACAAGCAGCTTACTTTTGTTTAAAATAATGCAACAGATTACACTTAGATAATATTAGAATAATCAGGTGATGCTAGACTTAGTTGTTAAGTATTATACATTTATATAATTGCAATAGTAATTTTAAGAATCTTAATAAAGTACTAATGTAACTGCTTAAGTTATAAAAAAAATAATAATAATAATAATTTATGTTAAAAAAAATATTAACATTAGTTAAAAATATTAACAATATAATGCTTACAAATTTATTGTTTTTTAACTTACTAATACTAAACAATATTATACAAAAAGTTAATATTTTTAATATTAATTATATTTTAATATTATATTAATTTTAATGTTATTAGCATCTTATAAATTAAGTTCCAACTAACAAAAATTTAAATATTTGAACTTACAATCAACCTATTAATTAACTATTATTGTAAAATATAAAACTTTATTTTACTATTTTATTTATTACAATTAGTTTTAAATAATATTTTTTTGATTTTTTTTAAATTTTATTTTATTCTTCAATAATATCAAAAAATACTTATATTATTTTTAATATTTTATTACAAAATTCATCTACTATAACTATTAACAGTCTTAAAAACAATAAAATTATTTTTGTTAAATAGATTATTATAATAAATAATACATACTAATATATAACAGAATACTATTACTTTATCAAAATAAAACTATTAGAGTATATGTATCTAATATATTTGCTCAAATATTACAATTAAATTGATCAAACAACTTGCATTTACCTTGATCTTACTTGAATTTACCTTTTATTAATACTTTCTTTAATACAATTAACTTAATACTTTTAACTTTTACTTCTATCATATCTTTTTTTTACAACTATATTATTTTAACAATTAATATATTTTTTTTTGTTAAAATATTTTTTAAAAACCTTTTTTCAAAATTATCACTTCTAGCTATTTACAACTAATGCCTATTCCAAACCTGTTTTCTTATAATATTTACTAATATAAAATTTTTAATAAAAGTAAACAGCAAACTATTAAAATTAAAAAAAAGTAAAAATTTATTTAAATTTAAAAAGTTATTAATATTATATTATCTTAAATTACTAATAACTTTTTTTATTATATTATTACTATATAGTTAACAATAAATTCTTCACCATAACCAATAAATTAGCAAATATATATACAAATATATATGTATACACATATATATAAACAGAATTCAAAAAAAAAACAAAAAAAATACTTTTTTAAAATATTTAAATAAAATTTAATTTATCATGCATTTGCAAATTGAATCTGGTCAAATTATAGAAATGTTATATCGACTCTATAAACAGTGGCTTGGCTTGGCTTAGCTCAATTAATTTTTGGTTGAAGTAATGGTTTGACTTGGTTTGAGGTTGGTCGGCTTATAAATGGACCATCTTTATCCCAAGTGTTGAAGGATTAGCATAGCTTGGTCAACATTAGCATGAGTCAAGCTAAACCAGTTGTTTGCATTACTAGTTACAGAAAAAAAATGTAAATTGTAATAACGTTAAAGTAGATGACAGGGGTCTTGGGCTTGCCACTTGAGTATATGTGATTATTGATTTTGCCAGATATGTCATAGTATCGTACAATGACACTTTGGAGCATTTTCAGTTGATTTTGGATCTGTGGTTGTTTGAAGCAATATGTTTAAAATAATTCCAATATTTCTTGGCACCCGGCATTATATGGAATAGTTAACAAACCGTCATTATCCGATGATATAGCGTTTTTAATTGCCAGGTGCATAATGATCGATTGTCCTCGTTGAATCTTGTTGGCTAAGAAAATAATAAATTGCGCGAAAGATTACATCAATATATGCATATCTTATTTTCTGCATATTGTTTAATGAACGCTTAATTGAAAATATTTATTTACACAGCTTACCTTCAAGCGTAGTTCCATCATCTAAAACTCGACCTAGATAGACAATTTTTAGACATGAAATAGATGGCACGGTTTCTTCAGCCCATTCTACGAATATTATTGAGTGAATGAGTTAAAATTTCCCGAGAAACCAAATATGATGTTCTTATCTATCCTTCGATTAACCTTTGCACAAAAAAAATTAATCAAATTGATCCGACTATTTTATTACCTTCAGGCCAATCATTAAAGACTTGTTTTTTGACCATGGAGACTGTATAACTAGGGTCAAAGAAGAAAGTCTGTCGCTTCCCTGAAACTAATAGTAAAGTCAGGTTGATCTTATTCCCTAATTCCGGGTTATTTGTCTCGACTAATGATGTGTCAAGTTGAGAGATATTTGAGGGTAAGGAAGACGACGTCGTTGAATCGCCAGTAGAGCTTGAATTTATATTCTCAGATTGTGTTGTTTGAGTTGCGGACATTCGATTATTAAATGTTGGCTGTGAAGTGTCTGCGTTATTGCTGACTTGAGTTACTGGTGATTGAGCCTCAGGGTGAGTCATTTACCTTTCGACTTTGTAAGAACAAAAAAAAAAAAAGGCGAGAAATGAATGTATAAAATTTTAGTGGAGATAATAAATGAATTCCATCAAAGAGTAGCCAAAATTTGTTTTACTATTTGTTAAGTTAAAATTTTTTCTCTTTACAAAACTCTAGGATGCTTGGCAAGTGTGATCATAATCTATAAATAATTAAGTTGCACGAATGTGTTATACTTTTTTTTTTGCAAAAATGGAAATTTACAGTATTAATTTTAATAACGATACATACAATAATTGGATGACATTATCGATATGAAACAAAGTGTTTTTTGTGGCTAAATAAAAAAAAATTATTTTAACGTTAACTGCACACTTCTTTATAGCGATAGGGGTGCATTGAAAAAAAAGCACTTATTTTGAATCGACCAGGGTGACCATCAAATTTGCGAGTCATGTGAGTAGCTCCACTGCGGTCAACGACATTTCTCTTTCACCACAATTTTTATTTTGCTGACCCACTTGTTTTTTTTAATTAATTGAGAAATTTATAGAATCTAATAAAAACTACAAACTAATTTATTATACGTATTACGAAGCTTTTATAGAAAATATTAAATATTGTATACACATACATACATGATTCTCAAAGATTCAAGGTAAATAATAATAAAAGATAAATATAATGTTATAGTTTTTAATAGTATTGGCAAAATATGAATATGGACAATATGGCCAATAGATATAAATATATGTCTATATTTTTTTTATTGAACATAGATACTTAGTCCAAATAAAAATTGAATATTTACTATTCTAAATAGAAAGTTATTGAACATAAAATATAACCAATATTTCAAAAGATTTTGGCAAAAAAGACATAAGTAAACTATCCAAGAGAGACTGTTAGGACTCTGGACATTACTAATAGAAATACGAGTTAAGTTAATAATAAATTTTTAGACATTTTATTTACTTTTTGGTCTAAACTTTTTCTAAATTCAGACCAAGAATAAATTTTAATTTTGATGAGAATTTAGAAAAATTTGGGTCAAAAGATTAGTTTTCTGCAAGATTCGGTCGTTCAGATCCATGATTTATAAGATTTGCCTAATTCAGATCCACATAAGGATCCGTTTGGATCCATTTACACTGATTGGCAGCATTTAGTAGAATGATTGTGTTTTATATATATATATATATATATATTGCGACAGGTAAACGGCGAGTCTGTCGCTTCTACTAACCAGACATCGCGTAACGTTACGAAATCGGCAGAAATAAGGCTTTAAGGCGTGGATTGATTTGGGCGAGTATTTACTTTTATTTATTTAAGTTTATTGTATTTGAGTTTCTCTATTTAATGACACTAACTACCACTATCTACTACTATTACTAAGGAACTTCGGTCCTTCCTCCCACTAGTTGGGGCACCCAAGCGATAAGTATTTTTATTCAAATTTTTGTTTTGCTTTTATAAACTTTTTACTTATACTAACTAATACTATTTGTTTTAGATTTCTCTCCTACTTTTCCCACCATCCCGCCATACCAATGCGGGTTTCACCTAATTCGGGTAAGTACTATACTATATGCATTTGTGTTTTTACTTTATTTTTAATGTGCTTTACTAACCCGTCCTTTTATTATTTTGCATTTCATCATTATGAAACATCACCGTCACGGTGTAATGCCTTCCCCGATTTGGGTACAACCGCCTTGACTTGTGTTCTTGGTGGGGGGGCTGATTATGCATGTTTTGCTGTTTTTGAGGAGTTGAAGTGCATGTACATCATCATTCATGCTATGTATCATTATGCATGAATTGTTATGCTTTTCTGGCCTGTAACATTTCCCTGATGTTTATCTTATGCATATCATGTATTAGATGTCTGGTGGTTATTTTATTGCTTGATTATTTTTGTGATGGTGGTTCTTGATATATAAAGGAAGAGTGATCATGCTTCCTTGAGTCTTCTTGTCATTTGGGTTGGAATTTTTCGATTGCTTGCAGCTTTCTTGTCATTTCATTGTTGAAGTTGGCTTTCTTTTAGTGTTAAAGGTCTTAGTGCAGCATTTATAGTACATATATTGTTATTATTTACTAAAAAAAAAGATTTTTTATTTTTTTTTATTTTAATTACTGTAATAGTTTTTTAGGATCTTAATGTTAATAAGGATAGTTAGCACTTTTTTGTTGATCGTTCACAGCTTGTAAATGTTGTTTAGGAGTTGATCATGCATATAATACAGGCTTACTTATTTTGGTTCGAACTTACTACTTTGAGAATATTCTATCGAGGCTTTATACATCAACATTTTGTCATCAATATCAAATTTAGATGTCAATTTTCAGTAAGTATCATAATATTGTTTTTGTCATTTTTGAGCCTGTTGGGTGTTATCTAATGCAATATTTCTCATTTGAAAGAGATGCTCTATTAGTTTATAAGTTTGTTAGAGGATAGTCTCTTCTAATAATTCTCTTTTATTACTTGGATGGATGAGTTGTCAGATTTCTTGGTCATATACAAGATAAAATAAAATTATTTTTGTAAAGTAATTTTTAGCGATATGATAGGTGAAAGAATGAAAAGAATAAGTAGATCTTAATTTGGCACATTTTCAACAAGTTTAGCTATAGCTTTATACAAGATATAATTAAACTGTTCTACCAACCTGTTGGTCTGTGGATGGTAGTGTGTTGATAACTTATATTTGACTATAAATTTGCTCATAAACTCTTTGATGATATTATTATTAAAATGGATATTACAATCAGACAGTATGTACTCAGGGTAGCCATGTTGACACATTATTTTATTATACAAGAAGTCTGCAACTGTTATAGTGTCTGCCTTTTCCATAGTCATCACTTCAGGTCACTTTGTTATATAATTTATAGTAATAATAATGTACTATTTTAACCTTGATGTTTGTAGAAGTGGTTCTATAAAGTTAATACCGATTTGGTAAAAGAATGCAGTCACTGGAATGGTTTGTAATAGGCTATATATTTGTGTCTTTTCTCTATATTGGCATCTATCACAGCTCTGAACATAGCTTCAAATATCAGTATATATTTGGGACTAAAAATAGGTGTTTCTTATTTTGTTAAACATTATATCTTTGTTGATGTGGTCTTCTAACAGGTATTGATGTGTTAAAAATAAAATGTGTTCTAACTCATGCTTCTAGATCACATGAAGCAGGTGATTTTTTTTTCTTCTGTCTTTTTTGTATAGAATACCATTTTTGAATATGTAAAATTCACTTTTCTTTTATAATTTTTGTCTTTCTTTAGGGTCAAGAACAGATAGAAGCTTGCAGATCTGAAGATATGTCTTGAGTTTGTTATAATAGATGGGTTCCATTTGATTGTTTTGTCTACATTGTTTACAAAAAAATTTTTTTTTTTATTATACTATTTTAAAATAATAAAAAAAAAGAAGTAACTATTGATTGTTAATTAAAGTTTGTCTGTTAATTTGAAATTTGTTTGTTGATCCTATTATAGGATTCATTATAGTTTACTTTAAACTTTTTATTATTTTGTAAGTAATAAATCATTTATTTTATATATGACTAGTTAATTGTGTAATAATTAAGTAGTTTATAGTAACTAAAAAAAAAATATTATTTTGTTTCAAAAAAAAAATAATAATAATTTAAGTTTGTTAATTTGAAGTCTATTTGTTGATCCTATTATAGGGTTTGTCACAGTTTACTTTAAATTTTTTATTACTTTGTGAGTAATAAATCATTTATTTTATCTATAACCAATTAATTGTATAATTATAACCAATAATTATATAATTAATTTATAGTCTGTTTCTTAATTAATAAAAACTTTATTTGTTTCAAAAAAAAAATTTTTTTTTTTTTTTTGTTTCAGTTGTAAAAAAAAATTGTTATAGTTTGTTAAAAATTTTGTGTCACTATAGTGACAGGTCATATTATCTTCCAGCTAAAGTGTTTTTTGGAGTCTCTTATAGGATACTGGATTCCACTTCATGGCTTTTGGGTAAGTTTTCTGTTTTCTTTTGTTTTTATTGTATTGTTTTTCTTGCTCTTGTTTCTTTTCTAACACTTTTCTCTTTTATTTGCATAGTTTTTCAAATCAAGAGAAGTACAGAACTTTGCTTATGTTTAAGAATCTCACAGTCATCATTAAAAATGTGATAGGTAAGCAGCGAAATAAGGCTTTGAGGTATAGAATAAAGATTTCATAAGTATATAGTTTTTTTATTACTATGATGACTTTGATTCTTTCCCCCAACTTGAAGCATCAAAGCTTAGTATTTCTTTATTAAACTTTTGTTTGTTTTTTATAACATTTTACATTTACTAACAAATTCTATTTGTTTTTAGCTTCTCTTTTTATTTTCCTATCATTCTGCCATTATATAATTGTATCACTACAAATTTCACCTAAATTAGATAAGTATTTAATTCTGTTGGTTTTATTTTTAGTTTATTTTATAACTATACTAACTCGCCCTTTTACTATCTGAATCCTGCCACTCTAAAACATTGTATTTACAATCTTATGTCTTCTCTGATTTGAATATATTTGTCTTGCTGAGAATTTTGGATATTGGGGGCATGATTATGCATGTTTCACTGTTATGAGGTCAATTGTACATAATCAATTCTGGGTTCTGATTAGTGTTTGTGCAACATATCATGATGCATGAGTCATCATGAAATTTTTGCCTGTAACAATATTTTAACCTTAAGCAGTTACACTAGTATTTTATTAAGTTTTTTTTTTTAAATATTAAGGTGAGTATATGTGATTTAGAATTATTAATAATATATATTGGCTAGCATTTGTTGATATAACAGACATAAAGACAACTATGAAAAAAGTGTACAATTAGTTATTCATATAACTTTAGTTATTGTTTAATTTAAGTAGTTCATTTAAAGGTTCTACATTAGTTGCTTTACTTAGAATTTATCTATAGGTCTTCTATTTAAATATTCTGATTTCATATCTATTACACCTTCCTAATGATTTT